ATTCTAACACTTTCTAACATTCTTGTAACTTTACTTTACTATTCACTTTAAAGAACTGTTTGGAGAATTTTACTATATCTTTTTTTATCATTTAAGGCTAATTTAGAGATTCCTTTAAATTGATAAAATTAATAAAAATTGACTAAAATTTCTTAAAATGGTTTGAACTTCGCTCAGTTTACATCAATTATTGTTAAAAATCGTACACTTTAAGCTATTCCAAAGAAAGAAATTTTATGGTCCAGTTTTTATTCCCCGTTGGTTCTTTACAGCTATGTAAGTGCATTCAAAATTCGTTTGATTGCTCAACAATTTCTCATTTGGATTTTGTTTCTGTACTCTGGTGAAGCCCTGACTTTTACCAATTATTGCTAGTGCCGTGGCCGTGGGTCGGGGCCAGCCAGCGAATTAGCCTTTGTTGGGCAACCAATCGAGTTGCACTGCTTGCTCCACTAAACCCCTCTCTATCCTGCTCGTACACAGCTTTCTCCACCCTAAGCCTCACTTTTTCTGCTTGTGCTCTGCTTTAGCGCACCCTTCTTTCAATGTTCTGGCCGCTGGCTTTTCATTACTTTTCTATCAACGTACTTAGGCCATTGTTGTGCAGTTATTTAGCACAATCAACACTCGATGCCGCTGATAGCCGCTGGTACGTCTCGTACTGGTAGTTCTCCCAATCCTTCTCTACAGTACTACTTTACTTCCCCTAAGCTTTCCACCTCACATGGAGGTTCCTTCCTCGTCCTTGTACTGCTGCCTCCTTCTGCTTTCCTTCATTCGGAAGAGAGAGAGCTTCCCTTTGGCTTAGTAAATTTTATCAACGGCAAACATTTCTCTCGAGCCCCCTACTCCTACCCATGCCGTACCACATCCTGATGGTTGGGTGTTCACCTGAAGGCAAGATCCTTTGTTCATTTACGTTTCAGTTGAGTTGCACACAAAATTAATGGAAATTGCTCTGCAGAATGTACGAGTACGAGGACTCTACCTACCTACAAGATGTTGTCGGGTACGGAGGATTTACAGATAGATGCTGTTGAGTGGGAGACACAGAGGCACACAGAGACAGAGAGAGACACAGAAGAGGGTATTAAAAAATTAACAAAAAGCTGGCTGGCAAAGTGGCAAGCTGGTAGTTGCTCTGGCCAACCTCTGGAAGCCTCCTTCGTCCTGAGGTATTTCATGTAATTGTTGCATGCCCCAATCCCAGTCCCAGTCCCATTTGCCGTCCCAGTCACTTCCTGCAATTGCATTCAATTGGAATTATCTATGAATGGCTCAGGCCAGACTTAGAGCCATACAACAGCATAGGCACCTGGATTGTCCTGGGAATCTGGTAGGCAGCAAGTATTCGACTCTCGGACAAGTTGTTGAGCGCTTAAGCTGGGGCCAGAAATTGATGGAAAATAGTGTGTGTGGGCGTGCATGTGTATTAGCAGTTGTTGAAAGGGTGGGATTACTCCTTAAATTAGAGCTAAGTCCGCAGACTACTCGTAGAATTGGATTTGGCATGTATTAAGTGCAGGAAACTAAAAGTTTCAGATTCTTTTGCTTGGGAAATTCCCAAGGAAATAAACGCTAAAAAGTCAATCGAAAGTCACCCAAAAAAGTATGCTATAGTCATTTCTTGAGCTTAGATACATTTCTTGTCCTCAACTGCCCTGAGGTGCATTCCTGTTGGTTCTTCATTCCTCCCTCCCACGTATTTTTCGCTCCCCACGAAATTCATGTCTATTCCTGTTCATTCTTCCACTCATCGATTCCATTGTATTTTCTCCCTTTGCTCTTTGCTCAATTTTCACGCTACTTGTTGATTAGTTTTAAATGAGTTTTGCTGACGGCATTTCCTAACCCGCTCCAGTCAACCCTTCTGTGCAGTCGCAGCCGTCTCCAGCCCTGATTGATATTTACGCGCTTTGGCTGATTGAAGTGTAATCAGCAAGCAGTCAGTCAGAGAGTCACTCACTCAGTGAGGAGTGGGAACATCGCCACTCAATCGGAGGAAGCTGCGAGGCATGTATTAGCAGCGGAATGAAATGTACGAGTAAGTGAGCAAATCGTAATTAAAATGGCGCCAAACGTCAGCAGGAAGTTAAGAGGATCGACGTATTTTATACTCTTTCCGTACTTGAAGATTGCAGAACAAATACAAGCAGAAGAAAACTGAGGGGCAGCAGTATAATATTCTGATTCAGTTTTTATTGTAAAATAAGAAAATTAATAAAAAGCATTAAAACAAAGTGAAATAAATAAAATTAACGATAGAAATTTTTACCACTGATCGACTTTATCTTTCTATGCCATTCAAATATCTGATCATAATTGGAATATACTTGGAAAGGGTATGAAAAAAGCATAAGAACAAAAGTAAGCAACAAATTACGCTCGAGGACACAAACAATATGCATTAGAGCTGAAGAACAAGAAGAAGTAGCAACAGAAGGAATCACAGAGGAAGAATAAGAAGTAACAGAAAGCGTCACAGAGGATGAGAAAGGGACATCAGAGAGAGAGAGAGAGAGAGAAAGAGAGCAGGTCAAAGCACTCGACTGTCTGATGGCAATGACGTTGACAGAGACGAGACGCTAATGAAAATGCATAAGCAGCTGCAGCAACTGGATAGCAGCAGAAGAAGGCTAAAGGAGCAGAGGCAAGGAGTAGCGGGAGAGGCAGTCAACAGAAGTTATGATAGCAGTGATGACATATGCAGTGGAATAATGAGCGGACAAGCATTGCCAGAACAGGAACAGAAAATATAAAAAGCAGCTAGAGAATTCCCAGAAATAATGACGGGATAATGATTAACAATGGGAGAGGCAGCGAAAAAGGAAAGAATTAGCTTTGCTAAAATGAACTTAGGTCAAAATACAAGAATCCAATATTAATATTCATTCACGCTTAACGATTGTAGCAACATTTAAAGCAGTGATAACAGTATACGAAAACAAGCAGTGAACGAAAACAAGCATCAGCGACACAAGCAGCGGCATTCTAATGAACAGAATGCACTCAGAGAGAAAGAGCACATTGCGAATGCAACGGCATAACAAATGCTAAAATGGGCAATACAAAAGATGAAAGCCGCCCAGTCACGGCGCCACTCATAAATACGGCAACGCCGCCAACAAAAGGCAGGACAGACAGATGTAGTCGAGGGAGCGGCATGGGCATGGGCATGGGCATGGGTGGGGTGTGTAGAGAGTAGTGGGAGGGTAGAAGAGATAACATGCACTCGTCTCGCACTCATCGTGTGTGCGTTGACAGACAAAACGTTCGTTGGGCATCCATGCCATGCTCTCTGTCCGTCCGTTCGTCCTTCCGTCTGTTTGTCTCATATCTGTTTGTCTCTGTCAGTCATGCAACCAGTCTGTCAGTCACTTTGTCCCTTTTGTCAAGCACTCTGGCGGCAGTCATCGTTGCAGTCGTTGCAGTCGTTGCTGCCTCTGCGGCAGTCTCCGGTCTCAGTCCGGGCGTAAATCAAAGTGAAAAGCGTGCTAATTGCATTAAAAGCATATAAACAAAATGCAATGCAAGTGGCTGTGATAAATATAAAAAACAACAACAGCGCAATGAAAAGCCTCCCAGCTGAATGTCACAGAATATCTCCCTCTGACTGCTCGTCGTAGCCTTTTGTGCTGTGAAATTAAGCAAATAAGCATGAGCAACGAGCAAAATGGCTTCAAAAAAGGGGAACGGAACAGAAAAGGACAGCCATGCAGGAGGAGGTCGTAACTTTGTATCCGTAGCGTAACCCCTTTTGGGTCCTCACTCGCGGCGGCTCTCGTTTGGTTTAATTGCCAGCAGGGGGCAAAAAACGGCTTTAAATGGAGGGAAAAGGTTTCATGATATGAAGGCTGAAATTAAGCTAGGCGTTTTTTAATTTTTGAGCATTGACTGTAGTCCACGATTCTTAGTACCTACATTTAAATATTGAATGAGTCAGACAATCCTTTTTACCTACCAAAATCTGAGCTATTTCTTCACCCTTTCTGAAATAAAGGTGTTATTGGGTGTTCAATGCATGATCTGGATCACCCAATTATGTTATGTTATTTTATTTATTTTCCAAGCCAAAAAAAAAAACGCTATGTGGTAATAATTGCTATGTCGATCCAATTGACAGCTAACAAAAAAAATCAGCACTAGAGCCTTTAGCCTGGAGTTTTTCTCTTTCAGTTATGTTGGGAGCGTTGCCAAGTCATTAACCTTCCATAAAGAAGGCAGTCTGGATAAGCAAGAACACAATCCGAGCTCCCATTTATGGCTAGCGATACGCACATGCTGCTGTTGCCCCTAACTGCATGTACTCAGGGCATGGTTCGGCGTGGGCCCCGAAATCGGTCCTTTTATAGCACCCAATCACGACTCCAACTCCGAAATGGCGGGGAGATACGAGTACTCGTAGAGGAGCAGGCAGCCGCATGCGTAGCGCAAATTCAATCGTACAATGTGTTGATATATGACACGTAATCAAATGTTTAAGTGCATGGCACACGCATCGCCAAGTCACAGAGAGAGAGAGAGTGCTCCCATATGCCCTTCTTTTCAACAAAAAAAAATGAAGAAAATCTATAGCGAAAGGTGGGGACGGTGACGGGTAGGGGGAGGAGGAGTAAGAGGTGCCACAGAAAATCCGACAAGTAAATATAATAACAATAAAATGAAGCAACGACATGAATGCCAGCGCAGCGCAGCGCAGAGCAGAGCAGAGCAGCCAAGGCGAGATATTATGACACTGCCAACAGCGATAAAAAAGGAAAGTATAACAGCAAAAAGAATGCCTGGCAAGGACAATTGCTGGCACGAAGATTCGTTGGGGCAACGTCTGTTTCAGGTCAAGAGCGCATACAGACAACGACAGATAACAGACGGAGGACACAGAGCGTGCGGGAGAGGTGCAAAAGTGTTGCCAGCTCTGTGTGTGGGTGTGGGTGTGGGGAGCACTGCCAGCTCCGTCTTTGAAGCGCCTTCCAGCCATAAATATTTTCTGTTTCTTCTATTTTGTTTTTTTTTGTTGTTTGTTGTTGCATTCTTTATTTGTTTAAAGACTTAATAACATTCATTATCCGTATAATTTACACTGCTACACAGGGTTTTGGCTTAAGTTCTCTATGGATTTGAATATAATTTCACTAGTTATGCTCTTAGCCTATTAACATTTAACAATTGGTTTCGTCGTACAAGAGAGAGGGTTACACAGAGAGATATGCCTTAAGGTGTGCGTCATACGTATAAGTTCAGTGAAATCGATGAATGGCAGAGGGTGAGTGAGGATGGTGTTTGTGGCGTTTTCTTTGCTAAGCATTTCAATTACAAAGCTTTTCACGGCCAATAGCTGGAATTTGGGTTTAAGCGAATTAGGGATGGCCGAGTGTAGCGATTGAGAATGGAGATTTTTGTAGGTATTTAATTTTCCCCTTGGAATTTTCTTCTTTTTTTTAAATATAATGTTCTCCAACAATCTTTCGACACACATCCATCTCTAGTTCGTAAATACTACTTTATTTTCAAAACTTATCAGGAAAACTATCCTTAAAATATATACAATCTTATGCTAGTTTTACTTCTTGGATATCTAAAGTTAAGCAATGGAAAATGGTAACTATTAATATCCTGGAAAGCAATACGATTAATTCACAAACTTAAATAAACACAACGAAAATAATGAAAATCTATTTAATTTGTAATTATTTTTGTACGCCTGTACATTAATACAAATTAGTTTTAGACAGATCTCTTTTAATATATTCTCAAACTATACGGATTCTACCTTGTCTGTATTTTAAGCTTTAGTCAGGATCAAGTTTTGAATTGATTCTAAATCTTAATTACTCGTTATTTCTAACACAAATATGCTTCCATTTGGATTATTTCTTCATCCAAAGGATATGCTTAAACTATGAAATGATTAAATATTGGGAGCTCTTAAACCCTATTCGTTTTGGCTACTTACTTGGTTTAAAATACAATATACAATATCTGTTAGGCATACGTACATATGTATATATTCGTCTTTCTTTATTTTAAATATATTTTTTTTCATATTTCTTTATTTGTTTTCTTCACTTGTATTTTTTTGTTTTGTTTGTGTGTTTCTTAGCAAACAACTTTGAGCATTTTTCTTAGGAGCTAAGAAGCAGAAAGCCCAGAGAGGAACAACGACATTCTATGCTATAAATAGACTCCATCTAATAATTATTTATATGTAGATATGTACAGACATACAGTGAAGCAGGACCAATACGCGGCGTATACTTGATGTAAATTCAAATATTTACAAAGAACTTGATGGGATTTTCAAACCAAACAATGGATGCTTTTCCTCCTCCTCCTCCTTCTCAACCTCATCTCTATTGGCCAACATCTTTGTTAATTGTTATCTACGTGGATCAGCGTTCACGTTTAATTGGGTCGACAGCCGCCTGCTGCCGGTCGTCCTTCTATTGCAAGTCCATCTCCAGTGGCAGCAGCAGCCCCCACTCCCTTGGATGGTCGTCGGAAGGCTACACAGAAATGCTATTAAGACTGGCAGCGCGTAGAGGGAAACGCGTGCAATTGATTTGGAAGCTAATATGCGTGACCAGGGCGCAGATGAGCCCGTTACTGTGCCCCATACTGATGATGATGATGCTGCCGCACTGGAGGAGGCGGCACTTGCCGCCGCTGATGTGGCCGCTGCGGGGCGTCGACTCTTCTTCAGTTGTTTGTCTGCTGGGGAAAGCGAAAGGAAAACAGTTGCAAAAGTTTTGTCTGTATGTGTGTATGTGTGCGTGTGTGTGTGTGTGGAACAACTGTTGCTGTGGCCGATGATTGATGATCACTTACCTTCCAGGGGGGACTGTGACTTGTCCAGCGACTGGTGGGACTTGGACATGACCGTCTCTCGTGACTCGAGAACGGGTATCCTCTGGTGCTTGTCACTCTCCACGCTCTCCTCGTTGCTCTGCCAATACACGGAGGAGATTTTGGCGACACACTGCAGCCGTGTCCCGGAAAATGCAAAAGGGGACGGGAAAACTTACATCAAATCTGTGTACATTGATAAATGTGCTGACTAGCGGGGTGGGGCAGGAACGGAAATGAGGATAATGCGGAAGGCGGTGCACTGCTCCATTGGTGTCATTCTCTTGACGGCATAGTAAAAGTTTTATGTTTTCATTAACTCCTCCCGGTACGGGGCGCATAGCCCAAAAATTACCCGCATACTCTCTTACATCTCCAAAGGACGGAGGACACTCAAATATACGAGTATGCACAAACGGACAAGCACACATCCAGGACACACTCATATGCAAACGGACACACATCGAGTGTGTGGCCAATGGTTGTGGCACAGTGGAATAAACTGGGGGGAAACTTCATGTAGAAATTTTACTACAATATATAAAAATACTCTGTAAAAGTATCCAATGTAGTTTAATAGAATACCAATCCAAAATAGGGATCCTGGGATCCACATCGATTTATTTATCGAGGACTGAAAGTTCTCATGGTAGTTTTTATTTAAACTAAAACTATGGATTTCCCTACCACTGTGCGGGCGCTGGTCATGTCATAAGAACATTTCGTCTCTGCCACCCGCGTTCGCATGAAATTTTGTGGCTTGTTCAACATACATTTGCACTTGCACCACCACCCAAAAACACCCCACAGCCCCATACCCCAGCCAAAACCATCTGATGTGGCGGATGTGTGGATTGGTCAGTGGGCAGAGGCAGAGGCAGAGCAGTGGCGAATGTACGGTCAGGGGTGAGTGGTTGGGCTGCCAACTGCGTCCGAATGGATAATAATCAACATGAGCTGCCGTGTTATGTTGTCGCAAATTGAATCAGAGGAGCGCTCTGCTGCTGCTCCTCTGCACCGAATGTCGCCATGAATGTATCAATTTTCATGGCTGTAATCAGCTTAAAGCCAGAGGAGAACGAGGACACCCACCAGGCACCCATCAGATCAGTTCGAAGTCCGTGACTCACCTTCAGCTTCATGTCGCCGTGCTTGAAATGTCATCCGCGGACGCGGAACTCCAGCCCCAGTCGCGCCACCTCCAGACCCTCGCGGCCCACAATCAGCGGTTCGTAGGGCCGCAGCAGGGAGCGATTCGCGTGCATCCCGTTAATTAGCCAACTGAGATGGCAAACCGGCTTGGAGGCCGCCGAGGTACAGTTGACGCGCACCATGTCGCCAATTTGGTAGCGTGGCTGTCCGCCGGTGATCTGTGGCCCGTGCTTTGGTGTCACTACAATTTTAGAGGAGAGAGAGAAAGTCCAGAGATTAGTGAGATGCTCCTGGATTTAAGGATTTGTTTGGGTGGATTGGTTGGTGGAGGCTGTTACCGAGTTAAAGCGGTACTTGGGGGGTCAATTGAATTTTGGCTTTCTGTGTAGCCAGCAATGATTTTTCGGGTGGCAGAGTGTTTGTGATTAGGGCAAGGGTAACCTTCTAAGACTGTGCAACTGCTCTGCAATATTTAATAGCTAATATATCGATGCAAGTCTACTACTAAAATACAAACCACAAAATGGTGTCATCATTTGAATGTGTTTTCATTTCTATAATAAGATTTCATTTAACATTCCTTTGAATATTGCATTCCCATCCAAATGAAGTTGTTTTCAACCAAACAAGATTGATTGTTAATTTGGTTATTGGTTCGAAACAAGAATTCTATTTCGTTCGCTATCAGACGGACCAATTAAAGCCCGCATTCCTCCACCTCCTGCCAAAACCCCAACCGAGCTGCCAGCGCAAATTCATTTTAATCTAAACCAAAAACTAAACAAAAAGTAAATATAATAAAATACTGCACACAAAAATGTCCACAGCTATTCTGGTTCGCATTTTTTTACACGTTGTTGCATTTGATTTGTTCTTCTTTTTTTTTGTTGGAGGCTCCCTGCTGCCGGTTTTTTTGTTGCCTGCTTTTTGCGGAGCCCAGCTACAGCTGCCTGCCCGGATGAATGTTGGCACATAATGGAGAGCACATACCCGTACTTTTGTCTGTTCTGTCTGTTTGCTGCCCGACCTGGCTCGCTGCCAAATGGGTCAACGAGGGGAGAAATCGAAGAGAAATTGTATCGACTGCAGTCGAGCATAATCGATAAATTCTCATTTGATGAAAACTTGAAGCAATTTAAAAGGAAATAAGCGAAAATCCAACAACGATTTTTCACTAATAATGTTAATAAATGCTTTTAAAATGAGAAAATCTCTAAGAGTAAAGAAATTAAAAGAAAAATCCAGAGGAAAAAGGGTCAAGAAAAAGTTCCATTATTTGGTATTGTCCTTTTCGTACTTTTTCTTTACTTTATTTTCACTCGACTCTTTCCTATTGTTTTTCTATTCTTTCTTTCACTCTTTCTGATTGTTTTTATACACTTCTTTCTACTGCTTCTTATTGTTCGCCTCAACTGAACTGAACGGCATAAATTATTATTTTCAGCGTCTATTTTTACGCTGCTTTGACATTGATTAAGCTGTTGATATTTTTGTTTTACTATTTAATGGTATTTCTCCTTTATTTGTACTCCCTTTAATATTTTGGCAAAAGTTGAACAATTTGCTATCGTTTTTTTTTGTTCCTGTTTTAGTTGAAAGGGCGACTGGGCGGGTGAGCAAACATTTTGTTGTCTGTTCGCTGTATCAATTGGTAATAATTGCTGGGCATTTTTATTATTTGGCCGCCATTGTCCGGCATTGTTTGCCCAAAGGCTTTCTCAGACAAGGGATCCCCATGGAACCCGTGTTCGCATTGCGTGGGCCGTCTGAAGGTTCGGGGCATTGTCTGGGCCAGCGACTGAACAATGGCAACAATTAAGCAGCTGAAACAAATATCTAAGTAAATCCGATGCCCAAATAAACTAACAATTTTTCACCTTAATATCATTTGTTTTTGCATTTCACCCCACAAAAAGGGTCGAAAGGGTGCAGTTTATTGTAAAGAAACGAGTTAAAGTACAGTTTATTGGGGCATTTTCTTTTCGGAGGTGACAACCAGCTTAAAGAGTGTTAAAAGATAACCTTTGTGAGCCCTAAAATTGGTTGTTCTAATTGTAGATGATACCTGAAATAAAGCGAGAACTTATCCTAAGTGAAATGAAATCTCTGATGTGTCATATATATTTTTATATATCTACTCGTATAACTGTTTTGATTTCCTTGATATCGTATATTGTATAATATCCAATTTTCCGACTCGTATTTCCATTATTCATTCAGTGATTTTTTCATGAGGAAACCCATTTTCCATCAGAGGCAACAGAGTGCAACTTTTCAACGCAACTCACTCTCGTGGTGAAGGATTATGTTGAACCAATTTTGCCCCAAACCGGATATTCTCCATCAAATGCAGCTGTGGGTGACTCTGGGTGACTGGGCGACAGTCCCCAGAGCCTTCTCCCATTTTCAATTTCCGCGTATACCCGTACGTATAAACTTCAATTATCGCTTTGTCAGTCGTTGAGTCAGGCATTCAGTTGCTCCGTCGTTCAGACTGTCGGTCGGTGGGCCTGCACAGTATGCACAGGGATGGATCTAATCTAACCAACTGGGTCAAACATATTTGGCCTCGTCATGGCGGCTCATCATTTGCGGGCTGTGCCCTGTAATTGCATTCAATTATTTCAACCAGAATATCGTATGCAGGGCCCCATGAGCCGGCATTAGTTCCATTCGCTTTTCCCATTGCGCATTAATTTCAATACTTACTTGTGTAACAGAAATAACATTTCTTCGATTTACTCCGCTACAACCACCAATGCTAAGACCCCTCTTCCATTGGGGAACATTCGTTGATTCGCTGCAAGAAATGTCCCATTAGCGGAAAAAATGTGAATCTGCTGCAAATGAAACTGTGGTATTACCCTTTTTCATCTCTCTCTATATAGAGACATAACTTAGTCTTTCTTTCCATTTCCCCTTTGCTGTCACCTATCGGCTCTTTACCCGATTTTCTTTCTACTTTTTCCAGCTTTTCTTCGTCTCTTTTGCCAGCCTTTCCTCTTTTTTTTAATGGCTCACAAATTCATTAAGTTTATTGATCCGCAAATCGTCATAGTCATTATGCCTTTGATTTAATCCGCTTAAACCTGAACCTGGTGAAACCCGAACCCGCACCACCTCTACGTAGCATATAGATGCCGCACCCCCCCTTTAGATTTCCACCTTTTTTCGCCATTAAATCCTGAGCGTAATTGAGTAATTTCAATCTGAAAGCGGAAGCGTGTGTAGGCTCTGCGTTGATTGGTCGTCTCTCTCTCTCGCTCTCACAAGCAATCGAGGAAATATTTAGTTAGCCTAATTATGCGATATACCAATTTTGATTGCCTCCATACCCCCGCCATGCCCCAATTGAGTGGTTCTCAATGAGAGAGCGATTCAACTGACGGAAATGAAGGTGAAATTTGCCCCCGGCTCAAACACAATTGTGCTGCAACGACGACGGCGACGACGACGACGACTGTCGATGATAAACATCATCATCATAACGAGAAACGTTTGGGGAACTGAAACTGGGGCAATATTTGGGTCAGAGATGTGTCGATACTCTACGCATTTCATCCGCCTTACGTCATGCATTTGGGGGTATTAAAACTCTTTAGGGGTTTCTGTTAGTCAGTTTGCAAACAATTTATGCGACATGTGTAGGTAAAACATTTCGAATGATCTTTGGGGAAATATTTTGTGTAAGAAATCCGTGATAGACAGCCTTTGAACGGTCTGTTCTATGATTTGTGATGATGATATGTAGCTATAACTATTTCTTTCTAGGTTTAAATTATTTTAATGCAATAAGGAACGTTTTCAATTTAAAAGTTATCGCTTTAATGGTCTAAGATACACTGAAATACAGATTCCAAATTTAAATGCTTTAAATTTAGATAAAATTTACATTTTCTGCAATTGAATATCTTTCATGAAATCGGATGTGGAACCAGCAAAAATATCTGCTTGCCGCATTCCCCTTTAATGAGCTTTCTCTCTCGGATGAGCATTCTCTTTTAGTTCTTCCTGAAAGTCGAGTCGGACTCGGGGCGGCTGAATGAAAAGAAAACTGAGAATTTATCTTGTTCTCTTTGCGCCACGGCCCGCTCTTCCACTGATATTAAACACGTTTATTCTAAGCTTTCCTCTGACGCAGTTTTTCATATAGCGTTTGGCCATATTTTTGCGCCATGTTTTGTTGGATTGCGCAAAAATTTCAAATTAAGTTGCAGAGAGCCGAGAAACACAGCACAGATGAGGAGGAGAAGGTATTTTCTCAGCAGTGAGGAAAGAGCGAGTGGCAGGGAAAGTGGTGGAATAGGAGGCGAAAATCTGAGCCGGATCTGAGACACAGGCTGAATCTGAGGCAATGGCAAAGGCAGAGGGAGTGTCTGAATCGGAGGCACTGCTGTAAGTGAGCAACAGAATTGCATCACGTACATGGGCAATTTGCCAGCGGAATACAATACAAAGGATAAATACACACACACACACATCCTAAAGCCGTGCAGAACACTGGCCAAGAAAAAGGATAGCCAGAGTTTCATCCTACATACATACCTTCTGTTCCATTCTCTTTTATAGGTATACCCGGTAATCGTAACCATGAAGAAGGTATATTGTATTGCGTGATAAACAAAATATAAAATACTGCACCACAAATAGAATACTATACAGAGAGCAAGTTTCCATAAAGTGTTTTGTATAAAGTGGTTTTTAAGCCGCCTTGAAGCCAGAGTTTCCCTTCGATCGTGTTGCCAACTCTGCCTACATATATTTGGATCATATCTAAAATTGATAGAGACATAAATCTGTATAGAGGGTATCCCGCAGTTGATATACCAACAAGTGATTTCGCTTAGATTTTGTTTATTTTTTTTTCGGCACAGGTTTTGTGCTCGAGAATTTGTGAATCGCAGCGAGAAACAATGCCTGGCATAAACTAAATAAATGTGAAATATTTTATATATCTTGTAAAAGAGGAAACTACACGAGAAAAATAAAGGGAGGTGATGATAAAGAAAGAATGAGAGGTAGGTAGAGATATATACATACATATATATATATATATGTATATAAGTATAAAACAAACGGAGGCAGAAATTCTGAAACAGATTACTTTTCGTCGCTTCGTTCGCTCAGTGCAATTAATCTTGCCTTGAATGGTTTCACTCTCTCTCTCTCTCTCTCTCTCGTATTTTCTTTATTTCTCTGTTTTCCCCCTTTTCGTATGTGTATGTGTGCAGATGTATGTATGTATTTTTTTGTTAGCCCACTTTACCACCCCACACCACACAGCACTTACCCACAACAATCATGTCCTCGTGACCGGAAACTGTCTGAAACGAAGGCGCCTCGCCGGACACTTCGCAGCGATACCGTCCAGTCGACTGAAGGCTAACCGAACGTAAAACAACAACCACGTCCGTGGAGTTTTGCAACTGTAAAAGAGGGGAAAAATGTGACAAAAAGAGAGTAAGAAAATGCACAGCAAGGAAAGTGAAAGTTGTACAGCACAGCATAACAGAATCCTTGCAGCAGTTTAATTTTATTGCTTTCCATATGGAAATTTTTTGTTCAAGAGACTTTACAATTTAGTTTAAAGCTAATGCAATTGACGATCATGCTCCACGTATTTATCTTTAGCGTCACGAATGTTTCATCTCTATAGGATATTATTTAAATTAAATTCTGTCTTCTTATTGTCTTTATCATTTGGTGACTCTTCTTCTTCTTCTTCATCCTCATCTTCGCCCTCATCATCGCCATCATACTGATCCCCCTCCTCGTCTTCTTCATCATATTCCTCCTCGCCTGCGATATCTGTGAGGATGTCCAACATATCTTCTAGCGCCTGATCCTTGACAGGCATCACTTGATCCAAATCTTCTGCTGTGGGTGAGACATTGAAGTGCTCCATGGTTTCCTGAAACTTGATGGCATGATCCATGTGAAGAACACGCAGATGTTCCTTCTGGGAGTCCACGTCATGGGTGTTCTGCTCGATGGGATCGATCCAGGGCTTACGGATCTCCGCGACGATCAGACGTATGGCATCCTCTTGGTCGGTGGGTGGAACGGACTGCTCAAGGGTTTGCAGTAATTTTGATTTCTTATTGCCGAGCATTTTGTTTAAAAAGTAACTTAATCTTTCAATTCAAAATGTGAACCCAAATCGAAGGAGAACTAGATTGTTTTATTGAGGAAAAAACTTACCTCAACATCAACTCCGGGCAGGGGAAAGACCTGCCCCGGCGGCATATCCCTTGGTACATAGCGGTAGAACTCGAAGCCATCTTTATACCATTTAACAGAATATAACGACTCTCCATCCAGATCAAACTTGCAACCGAGCGCGGCATCCTCGTGCCGCATTATGTGCTTGGGTATTTTGATTTCGGTCATTGTCAGGCATTCTGCGGCTTCTGCAATTGGAAAACAAAAAGAATTGTTTGTCAACTATTTTGTCACGACTTTAATAAGCCCCTGGCATGCTGCATGCTGCACGCTGCATGCTGTATGGGCTCTCGCTCTCGTTCTCGGTTTCAATGCCAGAACTAAGACCAGGACATAAATAACTGCCAGCAAGTGCATAAAAGTCAAGGAAATCGAAGGCAAGTCGCTCGCTACCGCCCTAGAACGAACGCTAGACTAGAACAATGCGCTTTTGTTTTGCCAACACAATGCCTTCGGATCCCAGAAGGGGATCCCACGAACGAGGAATGAACGAGGCTAACTTGAGAAACGTGTCCTGGTTGGAAAGCTCCGCGTCCTTCTCCGCACCGTCTTTGGGGGGTAGGGTAGGCTTGCTGGGAGAGCTGCGAGTAGATGCTGTCAGGGTGCTCGTACTCAGGGGGTACTCTCGGTTCTGGGGTCTGTTACTGGTTCTGGTTTGGGGGGTAGGGGGTAACTTAACACTCGAGACAATGCCAGAGTGAAATGAAAAGTTGGCAACTTATTTAACAGCCCAAGACAAAGACGGAAGGCTTGTGTACGAGTCGCGTAGGCCCCTCCGCTCGCTCGCTGGCTCGCTCGCAGGGCGATTTGGGTCACGCAAATCGAGATATGAAATTAATATTGCAGAGCCCCGAAATGAACAGCAGCTAGCGAAAGTGGAGCAGCAATCTCTGTCGATTGGGGAGAACTCTAAAACTAGAACATTGTACATTGGATATGGGTCTAAGTTAGTCAAGAGCACCTCTGAAATTCCTCCTACTAGCCCCATGTCTATTTTGCGAAAGATTTAAAGGTTATATTTAAAGGAATACCTTCGCGGCTTATTATTTATATTGTACATCGTGTGTACACAATTTATGTAGCTATTAACGAAACACTTTTTTAATTTGTCTAACAAAACATTTGCTTACATTTAGTTCATTCATTTGATTAGTCATAACACTGGTCGCCATTGCGTCAGCAAACAACAGCAAGCTCTTTATTAGGTGCTTGGCCTCCGATTAAAGTCATTCCCACACTCCAAAACTGATATTGTTAGAATCCAATCAAATCAGGGACATACCCATGCTGTCAAATAGGAATACAAAAGCAAACCGAAAGTCAAACCAAAGTGAATCCCCGACTCTCTGAAGGGAATCTGCCCACATTCTCATTACAACCGGCAGCAGTTAGAGAAGTTATTTTCGGGCAAGTTCAGGAATAACCACAAAGTATTGCCTAAATATACAATTGTCCCGGCAATGGGAGGAAGAGGCCAAACCAAGTGTGTGTCTAAAAATAAGTGCAGCATTTCATTACCAAACAGGAAGCGACATTAAGGCCTTTAAGGCTTTTTTGACGTCGTTTCGTTGGGTTTTTTTGTATTTTTTTTTTGTTTGTGTATTATATGGTCGTTCAACCAAACAGCCAGCGAAGCGACAAACAAACAAAAAATAGAAAGCACAATGCACAAAGGCTTAAAAGAGTAAAACCTATGGGAAATGCTGGCTCTTGGTAACGAAGACTTAGATACCCTTAAGAGCTATCGTTTCTATAGCTAAAGATATAGCTTCTTGACACAATAAGGATACAATTTAAATGTGTGTTTAATGAATAAATAAAATTTTGATGCAATAAATACCGTTCTAAAGTATCTGTGAAAATTTGCAGCCAAATTTAAAGGAAACGGACATTGATATATACACTCTAATCTTTATAATTTCTAGAATAAATTATAAACTCTTTATTGGCGTACGAAATGCCTTCTTTTATGGTCTGCAAACGTATCTTTTAAATCATAATACCCTCTGCAAAGTGTATAAAAGGGAAAAACAGGCGCCATTGAAGCCGATGAGGACGATGGTGACGCTGATGATGACGCTGATGTGATGATGAGGAGAATGGGGATGGGAATGGGAATTGGGTAGAAGGACGTCGCCCACTTTGGGCTTTTTGCTCCTTTGAGTGCACTTCCGCTTTGCGGCTGCAGCGGCGGCGTCGTTTGAGTTCCTGTTTTCCCATTTGCCAACCCCCTCATCCCCAGCGCCCTGTGCGTGGCTTTGGCGGACACTTTGTGGGGAATAAACTCGTATTTTTGCGGGTAGCACACAAGTACAATTTAGTATTATGCACTCTCCACTAGTTGGGTGTACAGCAGCTGCCGCTGCCGCTGCCGCTGCCACTGCAGTGCACTGCCTCCTTCTGACTGCCTTCCCGGCCAAAAGCCTCGCTCGTTGGCGGAAGACAAACAAAGTGCGTTGCCAAAAGGTTTCGCTGCACAAAAGCCCTTTTCCTTTGCCAGGCTCGACACTACAAAAACTCTAGTCTACAAAGCACACACTCCCTTGGTGTTAACTGGAAGTAAATGGAGTTTTTGAAGAAAAAAAAAAACAACCTCAAAGTAATGAGGAGTTTGGTATGAGATAATTGCAAAGGTGTGAATATCTTTGAAGATTCATTTTTTTTTAAATTACGCTTTTTAATAAGTTTTTCTTTCACGATATTGTATGAAAATGCAAAAAAAATTTCCCCATTCGATACAGCTAATAAATATGTACAGACTTATAGACTTACATAGACTTATTCCTTAGGCCTTTGCTTTTATTTTAATGTAATCGGATCTGATTTGGGGAATGGCAGTTTGATGTCACAGCTTTTTAAGTTTGCCATAATCAACAGAATTTTCACCCATTTTCTCCAAAAATGTGTTGATGATGTGATGGGCGACCAAAAGTGAACTTTGACAAATGTCAAGCGCCGCAATTCGAAGGAAGAGCTTTACCACTGCCACGCCCTTGGGCGGCTAATTAATAAGCCAGCTATTCGAAAGTTTTGTCCCCTAACCTGAGCTTTAATTAAGAAGAGCCACTGACAGGGCAGACCGAAGGCAAGATGCTGTGATGATGGGGGGGAGTCATGCTGCTGGCAGGGCGATAAAGTTTTTCATTTGATGTCGTGTAAACGTCATAGTTATGGTCGAAAGGGGCTCACTCAGTGGCTCAGTGGTTCGCCGTGGCTCAGAGTGGTTCAGAGTGGTTCAGTGGCTTTTGTTGCTAAGTACGAGTATGCTTACCTTAACAGACAAAAGTTTTGCTACTTAATTATTGTTGATTTTTAAATGATTTCATTTGCCGCCCGGGGCCAACAAATGTCAGCCACAGACAAAAGTTTCCACCGACTCCGAATGCTTCCCCCAAAATTGAGTTTCTTTTGGGGATTTAGTTTTGCCTCAAAATCTAATTTACAGAAATGCAAAGGGGTTGGAGGAGGAGGAGGAGGAGGTTGAGTGTCAAGTGCAGAAGTTTACGGACCAAAGTTAAGCTTTGCATATCATTATGGCCGCTTTAAGGGGCTAAGTCATCTAAATACTCATAGTGGCCCAGGGACTGGGCTATATAAACTGCTAATCGACTTTCTAAGGGGTTTTATGGGCAATTTGTTTTCATAAGTTTAACATTCGAGTTTTAATTATGTTGGCAGTAAATAAAATGTATGTATTTATATTTAAATTAATAAGAAACTATTCAAAATCAGGTTAAAATAGGCCTAATTCTATGTTCCTATGTATGTTGGAGTACTTTTAAATTATATTCCGGCCATTCAATGCCTGCGTTTTTCAACGGAGCTGACTGCAACTCTAGCCCTAATTTTCACTCCCAAATTTTGGCAAGAACAAAACCAATTTAGAGGCAAAACCAATCAAAATCATCTTTAGCCGAAAACCCATTTAGCAGCAAAATGACAATAGAATCGGCTTACTGAAGCGGATTAGTTACACAATGCAAACAGTACGCATATCCCCCCATCTTTTGGCAAGTTTCAGCTTCCGAACCCCCCAAAAAACAAGTCCTGGCCAAGGCCTCTGCCTCTGCCTCTCTCGACAAAGCCATTGCAATTCCCAAAACAAAATCTGACTGTCATATGAGAGCTCTGTACTGCTTTTCTCTGCCTTGACAGGCAAATGCGAAATGCAATTAATTTTATTAGAGTCCATTGAAAACTCATTGGAAAAGAGCAAAGACACCAGAGAGAGGTAGAGAGGGATACAGAGACGGAGAGATGGGGGGGTGGGTCAGAAGGCAGAAATTTATAGCTCTGCCAAGGCTTCACTTACAATGCAAATTTTTTTCAGACCACACCAGACCAGACCATAGAGACAGGGGCAGAGACAGCAGGAGATGCAGGGAGGCAAAAATTATGATGCGGCTTAGTCTGGGGCATGGAATAGGGCTTGGATGGATCGATGGGGCAGACCGGATGCCAAGCCTTCAGCAAATAAAGATGTTTTTGCCATGTTTCGCAGACGCCAGCAGCATCAATACGCATCAATCCATGCGAGCCCCCTTTTAGGCCGGTCCAAGCCCCAGACTAGAACGTGCTTAATCTGCAATCAGAAGCGGAAGTTGCTCCTCATCCAGGCACTCCTCCTGAACCTCTTTCTGTCTCCATCTCCATCTGCATCTCAGTTTCAGTTTCAGAGTCTGCCTTTGACGATGAGTGCAGCGTTGTCCACAAAAACGGGAGCACGTCTCCCCATTTTTGCCTCCAGCCCAATGCCCCCTAACAGCTCCCAGTTGTCAGCTCAGTGGAGCTTTTGCTGCATTGCAGGCGCACTTTCATTTGCATATCTCACAGCAGCAACACCAAAAAAAATATATATATCTATATCTATATATATGTATAAAGAATAATGAAAGATGAGAGAGATGCATATACTCGTACACAAAAAACTTGGCAACCATCGATCGATTGGCATTCCTCTTACAATAGACGGTTAATCGCAGGGCAACAAAGTCAAAAGTTTCTCTTTCGATTGCATACCATGGAATTTTTGTGCCAATATTTGTGTTTGTTATTTGCTTCCCCAAAGTTGCATTCTGTTTGGTTGGAAAGCAGGAATGCACTTGTTTTTGCAGCATTCTATAATTGATTATAAGGGAGGAGTGCACCAAACAATTGTGGGTGCAAACCGTTGTGAAAAAATATAGGCCTGTTCAGCCAGAAAAGTGAAACGTTGTAATGTAAATTTAATGTAAATCAGTGAATGCAAGAATATGTTAATTGTTGTTATTTTGGGTTTAAAGATAGTTAAAAGAAAATAGTGTCCATTTCGGGTCAGTGTCCTAGTCCACATGCAGGCTTACGGGAACAAAGTGACTGTTGCCTCACATTCGCTTTTTGTTTGATCTATTTTTTGGCCATTCGTCGTTTCTTCGTTGTCGCCATCTTTCGTCTCCTACGTGCGATTCTTGTTTGTTTTAGTATTTATTTTGTTTGTCTATTGCATCTATTTGATGGTTTGATGGTGTTAAATTGTGTCTGGAAGGTCAATTTTCATCGCCTGCTGAATGAAAAGCTCCCTTCGCTCCTTGGCTAACTTGCAAAGAAGTTCGTTGCTAAACTCCATCTCTGGTGGTTGAGGGGCTGGCATTGGCACAAACTTCAGGAGTGGATCGCCAGACAGCTTTCGTGCCAGCCAAAGGAAGGGTGCTCCCAAATTGAAATTCTTTTTAACCGATATTTTAAGGTAGCAATCTTTCTCGGGGGTCAGGACGCTTCCCTCGAGATCAACCATATTTTCGCAGATGACTGCTGCATTTGCAAAAGGAGCGCTACATAAGAAACTCAATTCCCATTCGTAAACTTTGTTGTATGATAAACTCGAGGTCGTATCGAACAGGATGATGGCACAATCTGGATTTATCTTCTTCTTGTTCTGGATAATCTCCTCACCGTTTTTGTCCCACATAACGAAACATATTGGTCCGCGATTGGTGTAGAAAATCAGCTCATTTTCTTTGTTTTCAGTTTTAATATCCACATTCTTGAATTCCCCGCTCAGGTGGCGGTTGATAAATGAGGTTTTGCCAGTACCTTTCTCCCCAAGAATCACGCAGTTAACTTTTGGCATTTCCATATCCATTCCAGTCATTTCTTGATAATTTTGCTAGTTTTTGTCTGCAATTGTCTTACGTGAAGTTATTGTATTGTCAATTTTTTTTCGCACATACCAGGAATTTTTTAAGTAAAAAAAATGTTAAATCTTTGCTTTGTTTTTAGCAAACAAAATTTTCTAACATCCCAGTGTGGCACAGAAAACTTCTGATAGAATGAATTTCAGTTTTTATGTGAAACGAATTCATAAATTTTTCGACACGTCAAGCGGCCAGGGCTGCTACAGCAATATAATGTCAGTAGGGTTGTCACATATAAAATAAATACAAACAATTTTATAAAGCTCAGTGGAACAACTTCTAGAGTCACAATTATTGATTTTGTTTTAGAATTTATCTATCACTATTACCAAATATCTGTTATTCACCGTAATTACCGCAAATTGTGTTATACTGAATGTCAATTGAAATTACAAATATGTGAGTTTAATCAGGCCATCCATCAGTCGAACCTAATTTTGGGGCTGGCATGCAAAAGGGATGACTATTTTCTTTAATTAGAATATCAATTAAATTACTAAACACACAGAACGCTTGCGGACAGCTGTAATAATATAATTAAAATTCACTTCGACTTGAAAACAGACTAATGTCAAAAACATTCCTCCACTCGGCTCACAATTATCCACACCCACTGGCACCCACACATCATGGAATCAATTAATTCAATTAAATTTGAAACATCGATATTAACGTTATATGATTAATTACATTGCGTGGAATGGAATCGCCTGAACGAACACATTGCGGGAGAGCGCCCGAAGGTGGAGGAGACATGCAAAATTAATGTTGGCTAATTTATATTTAAGGAATCAAATTGATAAAAGACAGAACCCCCCAAGGTGTGCTAAAGATTAGTCAAAACAAAGTCAAAATATAAATGGGTGATGAACTAGTTTGATATATATACATACGCATGAATGTATGTTTCAATTGATTATAGTTCAGAAGGCATTTTAAATCACCAGGGAAACGTTGTTTATTGGTAATCGTACCCAGAGATAACCACAATGTTCTTAGTCATTAGAGTTTCAATGCATCATCGATTGTCGCAAACTATTATATTATATTATTATATTCATATGCCACAAGCTAATTACACATTTTCGCCACCTCGTGAAGTGGCTCCCTTTAAATCGACCTTCAACAGGGCGCTTACTCTTACTCTTACTCTCTTAATCTTGGGGAAAATCACTTGCTAATACAAATCGTACTTATAGGTATTTATAAGGCCTTAACAATTCCAGGCAAATCTTTAATAAACTCTCCTTGAAGGCGCTTGAATTGTACAGGCTCTGGATGTGGATTCGTATTTGGTCTGACTGTTTTCTGTAATGGTTTGTTCTTGGTGGGGAGTGCGTGTCGCTCAACATTAGTTTCATGTGCTGCCAATAAATATGTACTTCCTTCGGACAGTTGCTCTGGCTCCTTTTGTTAGTTACAGTTTGGCCAAAGTGTGCGCGCCACGTTAACTTAATTTCATTATTTGTTGCTTTCTCAAGTTCTCGTATGTTCACTTTTGTATACCCTGGGCATTGGAGTACCAAAGGTATATTGTATTACAGCCAGAAGGAAAGCTAAGATCTAGGAAACCTAAAGAGATATACACTTTTGTATACAAGTTTTGGAAGGTGAAGCCTCTTGAAGTGCAGATATAAATCGGTTTATGTCACGTAAAAACTACAGAAACTCCACTCGCTACTGGGTATCTTATTGTCGATGCTGTCGTCTGCTTGTAATGGTCTTTCCCCTCTGTATTGCTTCACTTGAATTCCATTTCTATATGCGGCATGCGTACGTGACCTCATAATAGGAAAATAAGATTTCTATCTATAATTCAGGCAATGCGCTCAGCCAGCTAAGTGCCAGCAAATAATAATCATTTCTATTTCTCTTTTTTCCAGGGAGTTTGTCTAGACAGAAATTGTATTTGTCAGTAATTATTATTTCGCTCTCTGTCGCTCACAGTTCGGAAAGGAGAAGAACTCCGAACCAAGTTTCTTCCTTTAATAGTAAGCACAGAGATCTGTGGCAGCAGAAAGTTTTTTTTTTCGCTTTGACAAGTTTACCGCAAAAGGAAACGGAAATGGGAATGGAAAAAAACTTAAACATGTTTATTTATTTAATTAAATGCGGCATCATGAAAGTTCTGTACTGTATTTATCCCGCCCTCCGCCTCTCTATATCTCTCGTGTTTTTTTGCTGGCAATCAAGTTAATTAAGTTGAAGGTTTTTGCCACCAACGACACATAGATGACATAAATTAATATTAATAAAATATATTAATTGCATTTGTGCGCGCTAATGAAATATGTGTGCGTATTATTAAATCGAATATTTCCCTTGAAAAACTTGGGCCAAATTGTTATTTTTATTTATAGAAAAAAAAAAAAAACCCTTAACTAAATTATGGAATAGATACTCTGAGTTTCATTTATACAAGAGTATCAAATCAATCAAAACTGTTTCGCAACTCTTCCGCTTTCAATTGCGAGTGTAACTGATTGCTTTGCCACTTTCTAAATGTCTAAATTATTCACGACCTGAGACAAGCCCCCGGCTGTTGAAGAGTCAAAAGTCTTTCCCCATCCGGAGGTTTAACCGCGACTGTTGCTTGTTTGCCAGTTAATTTTGTTTAGTTTTCGCGAAGCAGTTTGTTGAACTTAATTAAAAATAAATAACAGGCAGTGGCGAAAGTTGTTGTTTATTCATGGGAAGTGAAATACGAAGGGGAAAAGATTTCGTGAGAAAGGATTTCCTTCAAGAAAATGGGTGGGGATCGCCTTTGACAGCCTTGACTTTGTCGGGGACTTTATAAACTTGAGTAGGTCTCAAAGGGGATTTCCCTATCGATTATTGAATGAATTTTAAATGAGTTATCTTTCAAGTGGAACACATGGCGTATGATTTATGTATATTTGAGGGGTGAATTTTCCAGCTGGATGGTAGAGTTTTTCCTTACCGTAGCAGAGTTGTAGCAGAATCCAGGCAAGGATGAGGTGGCGACGTTTATATTGTGGAGCATCCATGGTGCTGTTGCATTAACCTTCTCTTTCTCTACTACTGTATCTCTTATTTTGTCTCCTTCTGTGCTTTCCACACTGTCTTTCACTTTCTCTATGTGGTTTTGTTGTTCTGTTTTCTTCAAAGAAGTTTCTTGGGCGAAACTTTAATTTTTCAATTTGTTGCGGAATTTTCGGATATTCTTCTTATTCATACACTCGCTCTTCCTATTCCTCTATCTGTATCTCTCCCACTATTTCTCTCCGTGTTTGCTTTTGCTTCGTTTGCGTTTTCCTCTTGTCTCATTTGTGCAATGCAATAAATTTTCCCTTGACCGCCAACGAGGGAAAGCGTCAACCAATTGCTTTTCTTGTCCTGGCTCGCTCCGTCGTCTGCTTATTTATATTTATTTTCCATGAGCTCGTTGCTATTTGCTTTTCCTATTAACCGCGCTCTACTGTACAGTACACACCCCCACAAATACACAAACGGGCAGTCACATTTACATGCTATATCCTGTCTGTTGTGCGCGTTTCCCCTATTTGTGTTTGCTCCTCTATTTGGCTATGGGTTTTTTTCTTTCTATTTCTATTTCTCGTTCTTTTTTCTATTTCGGGCTTCCTCTACTTCGGATTCTTCTGTGTAGTCTCTGTCGCTTAACGCACTGTATTTAATTGAAACATCAGCAAAAGTTTCCGTGTGGCAGGAAGTCTGTGAATGGTAGAAAATTGAGACGTATTGAATATTTATCTAAGTTCAAGTTGAGTTTTCGATCGAAAGAGTCTTGAGAGTCTTGGCCAAGTGTCATTAAAGGTTGTGTAACTAAACGTAAATGTTGGGTGTCGACTACAGCCGTTCGAGTCTTACCAACTCTCAAGGTTCAAGCTGTATGCTTGAACCTCATACCAATCGATGTCAAAATATTATTTATTTGCATCAACGAATTTTAGCCAGCATTCCTCATTTCGATATATCTCATGATTGCTTAATAAATGTAACTTCTTAAGCTGACATGCAACCCCTGTAAATCATGCATCTTCTTCATAATCTTACAGATGTGTAAATACATACGTATACGTACATGTATTCCGTACGTCAGTATCTATGGCTGCATTCACTAATTACAATGAATATTTGAGTAAATTATATATTGCAAACCCTGCTGGGTTTCCCTCAAAGTAAATTTCCTCAAGCATATGCAACTGCGAAACTGCTTCTTCGTTGAGGAAAGATCTTAAGTGACAGAGACAGTTTTCCTGTGTACTGCGAGCACACAAACAATAAACCAAATGAATTAATCATACAATTTATGGCCAATAAATGATAATATGTATTAAATGCTCTCCCAGCCAGGAAGCAAAGTACTCTAAGGGATAAACAGAGAGCCCTCAAATCAGAGGACTTGAGGCCATCTTCGAAATCAAATATCATTGAGTAAAGGCATAAATTAACAATCATTTTGACGACGAAGACGACATGCGGGCGGGCGATTGTGTAATTGTTCTTGGGGTCTAGCTAAAATTAAATTTGCATAAAATCAATTAAAACCGAAAATCTACCCGAAAAGCATACAAAGGAAGCAACGGGGGTAAAACACAGAAAGGAAATCCTTTTTGGGGAAAAGTTTTCCAAAATGAAAATCATGTTTTGTAATTAGAGGCCATGAATAATTTTAGCACCTTGTTGTCAGCTATTTTAAGATGTGGCTCACACGTATACACGTATACAAACCCCCCTGTCGAACGGTGCGAGTGAGTGGCTTATGCAAAATAGTTGGAGCACACACACACACACACTGCGTATACTTGATGTTTGGCCAAGTCTCAGTCTTTTGCATAATTAATTATGTGGCAGTCATGGCACTGGCTTGTTAAATATGCAAATATATACTCCTATACCGTCGTATACAAGGTCTAAAACGACTCTTGGACTTGGGTCACTAACATCTCTGTAGCTCTGTAGCTTCTGTATCACCCGTATCCGTGTACATGGAAATCTTTTGGTTGAGATTTTTACCACAAATTGAATTTCGTCTCCCTTTAAAAGTGTTTTCTTCTGCTGCTTTAAAGCGGGAGGACAGGACACACTGGATGTTGGCCACAGATTTGCTTATAAGGCCATGTTCAATGGCTTGTCGGAACACACGGAAAGTCATGTGGCACACACACACACGCACACACATGGAAAAGGTGGCAGAGAGAGGAGGTGGTGACAAATGCTAGGGTTAGGAGCAGAGGCTTAGGAGCCGCCTTGTCGTATGTTGCATGTGCACATGTGGGCTGTGGATGAGAGAGGTCTCTGAATGCCAAATGAAGAAATGACTGAATGGCTCTATACGGGAAGTGCCTCACTGACTGAATGACTGGCACTGCTCTCTCTCTCTCTCTCTCTCTTACTGTATCTGTGTGCTGGCTCTGTGTGTATTGGCCGATTGTGCGTTTCCATGTGTGTGTAAGTTGGGGCCATGGCCAGTCCTTGATGTTAGGCATTTTAAGGCACACTTTTGCTTTAAATTTAAATCGACTTTCGGATATGGCCTAGAGAATTAGAACGGTCTTGAGGTAGGTAATGGGAAAGGTCTCAAACAAAAGCTTTAATTCAGATTTCAATTCCAAAAATACTTTATTTTGTCATTATAAATAGAAGAACAATCATTTTTAATATTTAACTTGTTTAATTTCAATTCATGCAGCAAATGAATGCAAATATGAACTTTTTCCATTATGCAAAAACAATAAATCGAAAGCAAATCATTGATAAATAATTGTTATGGGCCATAATCAAATAAACGCTGAACAGCAAACAAAGAAATGCTGCTAATATTTCCTCAAAAACATAAACCATAATAAAGAAATATGCTACCAGTGGACTGGTAGTATGAGTAATTTCCATGGCCTAAAGACCATTAAAAACATGGCCAATGAAATAAATTTCAAAAATTGGCCCACTCCTGAAAAAACATTTCTCTAAAATATGTTTTCTCAATGATGGCTGGTTGGAAAAATCTCGTTTTTATTTCGGACTATATCCATTTTTTTAGTGCCAATTGATGGGGTCGTAAAACCGTCTAACCATGGAAGTGACCTCTTGGAGAGTTTAGGAATTTAACGATCTACCAGAGGGGGCAGTTCCACCTCGTATCCCTGCTCCTCTCTCATTTACTTCGCTTGGAACCACCTGGAACTAAATGAGACTAATGAAAGACCATAATTCAGAGTCCAGAGGCCAGCCAGGCAGTGTCCCACAGCTCAGCGTCTAAAATTAATTGGCATTGTGCGGGAATTTAATATATAGGTACTAATACATGCGGAGTATGAAAATGGCAATAGATGTGGGGTGTGTATGGCTGTATCTGGCTATAGAATTTCATAATTATAATAATTTATGTTGACACCTGAGGCGTGTGCACAAATTGAACAGGGGATGCCCCCAAGGTCCACCAAGTTAATAAAACTTTAAGTTACAATTTGTGTGTGTTTCCCTCTCTCTCTCTATCTCTCTCTGTCTCTTACACTCCCCCTGTATTTCTGTCTCTGTCTCACTTGCCCTGGGGAAATCTATAGGAAATTGTTTGTGGCATAATACTTACTTATGACTGGTATTTTTCTTCGTTTTTTTTCCTGGCCAACCTTAAGGAACCGCTGAGGTGACGCTTGGACCTTGGAATCGCGATTTGCGGGAGTGTAGAAAACTTGGGAGGACTTCAAAGGAGGTGTTCTCTCTCGCTTTTTCTAGCCTTAAGAGTTGGTTGGCCACGTGCATAATAATAACAAATGATTGCTTGTCACGCACGTAACGGTACTTTCATTCATAATTTATGCATTTTAATTTGTCAAAACGTTGGAAAACAGTATGAGGGATTCCCCCTTTCTGAATTAAAGCCACACACACACACACATTCGCGCGCACGAGAACTTCTTTATGAATATGAATTTCTGTTTAGAGACTACTTAGTTTTGCTCTGTTTTGCTATCCTTCTACTCGTACGAGTAGTGCAGCTGGTGTTTGTTTCGAATACTTTTTATTCATAATTTACACTCACACACACACACAGTCTCGCACTCAAACACCCACGACTAGAATGCTACACGCACGATGGTCGCAGTGCGTTCGGCAAAAACGCGTTTGGGTGGATACCAGAGCACGGAAGGAGCACGCAGGAGTTTCGGCGTCGCGTCGCCAACCACACAGCACCAATAACCGACCAAGACTAAAAGCTTTGCTCCCCTTATTACCTGCTTTTTACAGGCCCCACACACACACAGTGGCGCTCCACAGAGGGCTGGACGCGCACGACGATATCACAGGCTAAGAACGGAACACGCGAACGAAAGATGACTCGGCAAAAGAGTGGGTGGCTGGGGGGACGTGTGTGGAGCGGATGGATGGGAGAGTATTATGCTGGAGAGACATAAACTAATTCGCGTTGTCTGAGGTTACGAATACAAAGCTAACGAGAGAGAGAAAAACATGCTCTTTGTTTGTTTCATTTCCATTTTGTTCCACATACTGCTAGTAAGTAGTGATGTTAATGGGCTTAACAGCTCAAGATAACATCACTATGTAGGCTATGTATTCTAACATTGGGCTGTTAGGGTTTGAAACTGTTAAAATAGGGGGACTATTTTACTTCTACAGCACCTTAACATGTCTTATCAGAATGTTACAGAACATAACATAGCTCTGCTAAACTTAGCAGAACATAACATTGAATTTAATTAGAAGTCGAATAAAAGGTAAAATTAAGGAGAATAAAACTGAGCCGGATTTCAATACTAAAGTATATAATTTTTTTAAACTATCATAGCTCTGAAAATTTCCAAAAGAAAAGTATGCTGGAAATATATAAATACATCTCAAATATTCCTATGATTATTTCAACTAGTTATACCAAGGTAAGTATTTCCTAATTGTTCTGTAGTCTCTGGCCCATGGCTACTATACATCTGTAAATTTTACCGTTGTACATATGTACATGCATACATATGTATGTATGTAGTTATCCGGATTAAGCTTCTTCTTAGCCTGAAGCAATCATTAGTCCTCCCTTTGTCATAACTGCTTAACATTTTTTTTTTGGTCACATCATTACCTGGAATTGTAACGTCCTAAAGGCAGTGGATAGTGGGCCCATTTCGTTCAGGATATGCATACACCTATCCGTCTATAGCCACAGCAGCCAACGAACAAAACAAAAGGTACGACAAAATATACCAAAATTTGATTTCTGTAACTCGAGAGTGCCACATATGTATGCCTGTACTCTCGAAGTACCAGCTAACTAATACTTCCGCCAAGGGGGGGCTGAGCCTGAGTTGGCTGTCCGACTGCAGACCGTACGCTGCAGCACTTTGCCACATGCTGCTCTGCTCCTATCCTCAAGTCTCCGTTAAGTCCTCCGCAGAGCCTGCATCAATAGCATTTTCATTGATACGCACACAGTTCTGCCAACACCAATACGAAAAACAATGGATACAAGTGGATTGGGGAGCGAGTAGTGGAGCATAGTTAGAGAGGAGAAGTAGTGGAGAAGGAGGAGAAGATCTGGAGAGTAGGAGATTGGTAACACACACACACACATCCCCGACCTAACCTACTGAAGCATCAATAGAAAATACCAATAACATCGACATCATCCTATCCTCCGCATCATTAGCCCAAACAAAAACTGCTGACTAGGGCACAATGCCAGCAGGAATATGGAGAGGAGACACCACCCCTAGTATTCTACACTTTCTCAGGACGCTCGTCTCGCTATGCTCCTCCTTCCTACACCACCACCACCACCCACAATCCTGACCAGAGCTAGAGGGTCTTAAACTTTTTTCTTGTTGTGCTGCACATGCCCCGCAGGCAATTTGAAGTTGTGGCAGCTTCCTGTCCCTCTTCTGGCACCTCCTCCGCCTACACCACGCTGTACCCTTTCTATATGCGCCGACATCGGCTCATTGACAGTCATAACGCTGAAATGCGCCTCAACTTGAACTAATTTGTGCGCAATTTGCGCGAAGAAAGGCGATGGAAGCACCAAAGGCAATAGAAAGAAAGAAAGAGAGAGAGAGAGAGAAAGAGAGGCAGCCAATGAATATAGAAAGAGATGGCTAGACCGTAACAGAAAAAGATAGCAGCAGAGACGAGAAAGAATGGCAAGCATTTGCACTTTTACTTAAGCGTAAAACTTTTCCTTTTGCAGGTTGCAGCCAACTAATTTTTCCCCTCCCTGTCACATTTTCCCCCCAAAAGAAATCTTTGGTAAGGGGGATAGATGGAATGTGTGAGAGGGATAGCACAAGTAAAAGATGGTCAGAAGGAGATGGCAATACTCACGCTGATTGCGTCAACTTTTTTCCTCAATTTGTTTTGTTTCAAGTTCGTTTCCTATTGTGGCCTTGCATAAATTTGATTATACGAAATTCTGTGAAGGTGCAAGGGAACCAAACGTATCCCAACTACATACCTACATATGTATATCTGTAGGAGCCGTTTAAATTTGTGTCCCTTTGTGAGGGAAAGCCAGTCTCTAATTGCCTGCCAGCGCCGACGGCCGCCTCCTTCATGAACTGATTGAATCTCTTACAATCCACAGGCGGCTTTATTATTTAACGTTTCAATTACACGCCAAGTCAGAATCGGAATCGGAGATAGAGGAGTCTCAGAGATGGAAATATAGAGGAGAGGAGCTCCTCCTGCTCTTGCACTGCTACTGCCTTTGGTGGAGACTATTTAGCATGTAAATGTGAGTCAGTGCCAAATAGTAGTGACGCCTTGTCCCAGTCACAGTCATAGTCCACCGTCTCTGACGGCGTCCCCAGATGTGGAGTGGAGTCTCAGTTTTCGTTTCAGAGGCGGAGCATCTATTTTGCATACAAATGGCTTTTCTTTATGTTTATGGGAAGGAATTTGGGTCGAGGGAAGACGGGAAAATAATTTCGAAAATGTTTCATTTGATTACTAAATGAATCCCTGTTGGATCTTGCCATCTCTAATTGTCTTTCATGGTAATGGAAAATGTCTGAAACGTTTGCTCTAACCAACTTTAGGTCAATATTTTAAAATAGCATTGCATACATACTTGGAAATTGTAAAATATAACATGTGACAAATTTAAATCTATACTATAAATTTGTAGAAAAAAATCGGTGTGTAAGCGGCTATTGAATTGAAATTTTATCAAAAAAATCATACATTTGGTCCAAGCGTGTGTTTGAACGCCTATTTCAATTAATTTCTCAACAACGAGTGAACCAAATTGCATGAAGGTTTTTTGTAAATGATAGCCAGAGTATTAAAAAAATCTATACCCTATTTCATTTCATTTTGTGTTATTCTGTAGAAAAAAAGTGTTTGTTTACTTGATGAAATTTTCTAAAATGAATGAGTGTTGCCTCGAAAATTAAAATTTAATAAAAAACGAGAAGGAACATGTGAGTCGCTATGCCACCAGACCGGGACTACGACATCACTATTTATCGATTGATACCGGTAAGGGTATGCATACTTTGGGCGATGATTTAGGGAATATAAGGAACTTTAGGTTAATGAAAAAAAAACATTGCTGTAACAGTATAATTGGCCACGTTGGTTAATTTTTGCTACAACCCAACTAACCACATGCTATCAATGTACATCTACGCTTTCACTACATTCAATAATAACATGCATCCCCCTGGCCCGCTTGCTGCATGATATCGGACTGAACGCGGATATGTGTTAAGCAGAGGGCTGTGCGGGGGAAAGGAGAAATCTGTGAGAATGTGGAGACGATGATTGGTAGTTCTGAAAGTGCCCAAAGGGTAGGGGGCGGAGAGGAGCAAAGACAAACAGACAGAAAATTTATGCACCGATGATTTTCATTTAAACCCTGGCATACAATTGAATCATTCCGATCTGATTCAGCCCCCCCCCCCAGTTCCCACTACCGAAGCAACGGAAATCGGGTAATCAGGGGATCGACCCTATTTATGCGCTCACTGCTCAAAGTCATTTAAAGGAAAATCGAATCTGCTGGTACATATGCGTTCTCACACTGGAGAGCGTCCTTATAAGTGCACTCACTGCTCAAAGACATTTATATACCGGAACAGTAGCTACCAAAAACACATACTTAGTCACACAACAGGGGCTACCAACGACACATACATACTTACTAATGCAGGCAATGACAAGTGTGCCATTCCGGCACCGTTCGAGATCACATCCGTAAGAACAATGAAAGATACAACTGCACCTGCAAATCGACATATTTAATCTTTTTATAAACATATGCTTTGTATGTTCAAGTATCAATATCCACTATCCTCTTTACACACTGCCCCTCAACATTCTGTACTTAATTTTAAATGATGCATTTATAAGCAGCTTATATATACATATGTTGGTTTATATGTTGGTTCAAATAAAATGTTACAGATAGGAAAAAATAAACAAAATTGTGTGAAATTGTACATTCTTATATGAGCTTTCTGTTGAGCTACTGAGGATCTTCAGTAGCGTTGCTTCGAGCAGCGATAAATTGTACACACGTTTTTGGGCTGTATTATATGTATGTACGTATACTCGTATGTATGTGTATGAGTACGAAATGCGTGGCAGTCAGGTATCTGTCTCGAGACAACGAAAAAACCCAGCCAGAGGAGCGCACTGCACTGAGGCAGAGTGTGTGAGCGAGAGCTTTGCCACTGCAAATTAATTTCTTCATTTCGGCTATTTTAATGATCACATCTGATTCTGCAGTCTGATATATATATACACTTGTAACAGTGTAACAAAATATGGTTATAATCTCTGCGATCTAGGTGCTCATCGGGACGGACGGACAGACAGGCATGGCTATACCGGCTCGGCTATTGATGCTGATCAATAATATATTTACTTTATAGGGTTGAAGAAGAAAATATACTTACATATGTATTACCAAAATATATGGTATTGATTTTGTGCGAAGCGAAACACCTGTCACACTTTTACCTCGCACACCTTATGCACAAATATTAAAGAATCTTTTGAACGGCGATATTCAAGCCAACCTGCAAGCACTTTCACTTTCCAGCAGCATTTTGCCGCCGGAAAAACGCAATTTAGTGCAAATAAAAACACACAAACAGCAAAAGCAACTTCAACTCTGCTTCGTGCTCATTGTCGTGGATTTTTAGTGTTGAAAACAATTGAAAGTGTTGGCAGCTGCACATGTCTATATA